TTTTTTTTGAGACAGTCTTACTCTGTTGCCCAGGCTGGAGTGCAGTGGTGTGATCTTGGCTCACCGCAACCTCCATCTCCCTGGCTTCAAACAATTCTCACGCCTCAGCCTCCAATAGCTGGGATTACAGGCATGCACCACCATGCCTACTAAAAAATTTTCATATTTTTAGTAGACACAGGGTTTCACCATGTTGGCCAGGCTGGTCTTGAACTCCTGACCTAAAGTAATCCGCCCACCTCAGCCACCCAAAGTGCTGGGATTACAGACATGAGCTATTGCACCCAGACAGAACAGTTTTTTTTTTTTTTGAGACAGGGTTTCACTCTGTCACCCAGGCTGGAATGCAGTGGTGTGATCACTGCTCACTGTAGCCTTGACACCTTGGGCTACTGCCTTGGCCTCCCAAGTCACTGGGACTGCAGGTGTGTGCCACCATGTCTGGCTAATTTTTGTATTTTTTGTAGAGATGGAGTTTCACCAGCCTGTTTCCCAGGCTGATCTTGAGCTCCTGGCTCAAGCAGTCCTCTTCTGTCACCCTACAAAGTTCTGGGATTACAGGCATGAGCCACTTTGCCTGGCTAACAGTTTTTGAACAAGAAAATTACAAGCAAGTAATCTTGCATCTGCTTCTCAAACTTCAGTGGGTCCTGAGTGGCCTTCTGATTCCTCTGTTAGTATGAGCCTATCTGGGCCTTAGTTGCCTATCTGAATGAGGGACATGGCTATAGGTCACTTCCTAGGAGGCTGTTCCTGGGACCAGCCACAGTGGGTCAGTCTGGGGTTGGCTCAGGGAAGAACCAGGGGGTCCCTGGAGAAAATTGTGTAGAAAAAGAAATGGGTCTTCCCACTCCCTGGAGTTTCCTTTGCTGTTCTTACAAAGTGTGGTATTTATGAACTAATCCAGCATTTTCCGTGTGTGTGCCTCCACAGACTAGCTTCCTTCTACGAAGCAGCAATTCCTGAAATGGAGTCTGCAATTAAGAAGAGGAGGCTTGAAGATAGCAAGTGAGGCGGGGACAAAGTGAAGAATGTTGTTGTGGGAGAGAGGCCTGAGCACAGCCCTGCCTTCCCTAGGCATTAGCATCCCCATCTCTAAGAAAAGTGGGAGGAAGCAGGGACTGTGCAGCTTTGAGCTTCTGCATCCCTCCCTAGCCACTTCTTGGCCTCTGCATTTGTTTTTTGTTGTTGTTTGAGACAGGGGCCTCTGCATTTGTTTTTGTTGGAGACAGGGTCTCATTGTCTCACCCAGACTGGAGTGCAGCGGTGTAGTCACAGCTCACTGCAGCCCTGACCTCCTGACCTCCATCAGTCCTCCCACCTCAGTCTCTGAGTAGCTGGGATTACAGGCACGTGCCACCACACTCGGCTAATTTTTGTATTTTTTGTAGAGATGGGGTTTTGACGTGTTGGCCAGGCTGGTCTCAAACTGCATTTTTTAAAATTTCTTAACATTTAAAAAATAATAATAATATTTAGCAGCATTACCTACCTGAAAAGAAAAAGAAAAGAAAATACAACACCCCCCCCAAAAAAAAAATAAATAATAATAATAATACATTCTCTGTGAAGAATTGTGTGAGGACCTAACAAGAAAGATTGCAACAACTAGAGTTAGGTGTTACTAAACAGCACAAAGCAGATTTGACCCAAAGTCCTGGTTGTACCAAGGCTTAGTCTATTAACCCAGTCCCCTAAAACACCATCATGGCTGGCCCCTGCGTTTAAGCCCTTCCCTCAGCTGTTACTCCACGCTCTTGGTACTCAGCCTGCTTGTTCCTGACCCACTGTTTAAACTGAGAAGCAGCCCTGGAACCAGCTGGCTTCTCTGGGCCTGTGGCTTTTGCCAGCTGCTCTCAGCAGTGAATTGTGAGGCCTTCTCTGCTCCAGGGAGGCACCTGCAACTGCTGGGGAGAAGCCCCCTCTGTGCCTATTTTTCTTTACTTTTCCTTTTTTTTTTTTTTTTATCTCGCTCTGTCACCCAGGCTGGATGCAGTGGTGCCATCATGGCTCACTGCAGCCTCGACCTCCCAGGCAAATGCAATCCCCCTGCCTTAGGCTCCCCAGTAGCTGGAACTACAGGCCTGCGTCACCACACTTGACTCATTTTTTTAATTTTTTTAGAGATAGCATTTTACTTAGTTTCTCAGGCTGGTCTCAAACTCCTGGGGCTCAAATGATCCTCCCACCTTAGCCTTCCAAGGTGCTGGGATTACAGGTGTAAACCACTGCACCTAGCCCCTCAGGCCTTTTTGTCTCATAAACCTATGCCTTTTTTCTCTCTGGCCTAGGCTTCTAGGTGATCTGTGGCAGAGGCTCTCCCATTCCAGGAAGAAGCTAATGGAGATTTTCCACATCATCCTGAACCAGATCTGCCTCCTTCCCATCCTAGAAAGCAGGTAAGCCCTCAGGAATTGCCTCCTGGTGGAAGAGTCTCCTCCTCAAGTCCTGCAGGAACATTTCCATCATTTCATCTTGGCTTCCTCCCCTGCTCTGGGGTTGGCTGAACAGAGATGAGAAACCGAGAAAAATGCCTCATTCCTCCATTGGGCCCCAGCCTTGAAGATGGGCAGAGGGTGTATAAAGGAGCTGCAGCTCATCTTGCATTGCATGAGCTCATCTTCCCTGATGTCCTGTTCTAGCTGTGACAACATTCAGGGCTTCATTGAAGAGTTCCTTCAGATCTTCAGCTCCTTGCTTCAGGAGAAGAGGTGAGTGTGGCTAAGCTGAGCCAGGCCCATGCCTCTCCCACCAGTCCCCAAGAGGCCTTGCATGATAGAGCCCCTGGCATAGGCCCACTATGTTTCTAATAAGGTTGTGCAGCAGACACAGGGAGTGGCCTGCAGCAGCACAGTGTTCCTGTGCCCCCAGCCCTGTCCATCCCATCTGCTCTCTGCCCCACAGGTTCCTCCGGGACTATGATGCACTATTCCCTGTGGCCGAAGACATCAGCTTGCTGCAGCAGGCCTCGTCAGTCTTGTATCCTTCTACCATATCCCACTGCAACAGGGCCCGGCTTGACTAGGTCAGAGGTGAAACAGGCTGCAGGAACCCAGAGGAGTGGAGAGAGGTTTAGCCCCAGAAGGTATAGGTCAGCCAGCTGTCCAAGGAGACCTGCCAAAGGCCCCAGCCTCGCCTTTGCTAGAGGAGATACTGCTCTGATGCTTGGAGCAGGGGAGATGCAGTCCTGTTTTCTCTGTATATTTTCTGAGTGTCTGGGCCTGTGTGACCAAGATGGACTCAGCCCCTCCTCATTACAGGAGGAGAGGTGGACAAGTAAACAGGCAGTTAGATAGAGTGTCACATGGGAAGAATTCAGAGGGCAGGATGCCAGAGGAGGTGCCTCACCCAGCAGAGCTCTGGGTGGGGGTATCAGATGCAAGTGATATCCAAGCAGAAGAACAGCACAAAGCATGGGAGAGCACCAAACCGGGAGCTAAGGGCAAGGACAAGAATGTTCCCAGAATAGGCTCCTCGGAGCCACAGACGTCATGTATGGAGTGCAGGGAGCAGTCATTAAGGAGGGGTCTCCCAGGAGGAGGAATTGGGGTGTGGCAGGTAAGGTGAAGGCCAGCAATGTGCACAACCCTGGGGTGACCATCACTAGGCTCTGTCCTGCAGGGGCTGTGAAGCAGGAGGTGACATGGCAATTCTATACTTTGGAAAAGCTCTGTCTGGCATAGGGAAGAGAATGGACTGGCCCAGGACCACCATGAGGCTTGGGCCAGTGGGGAGGCTGTTGCTGGCATCCAAGCATGGATGATGAGGGTTTGGACAAGAAGCAGAGTGAGGGAGACAGAGGTGCTCCCATTCCAGGAAGAAGCTAATGGAGATTTTCCCCTTAGAAGGAGACTCTCAGATTTCTGGCTTAATGGAGCCCAGGGTGGTCAACAAGAAGGAAGGACAGGGAGGATCGGCCTATGAGTCATTTTGGTGGCTGCAGCAGATTGCTCAGTCCTGTTTCAGGGATACCCCCAGCCTTTGCAGAATGCCCTCAGCCAATTGGACAGGAAGCCCAGTGGCAGTGGCCCTACCTTGCCCTCCTTCTGGCAGTCAGTACAAAAGAGGAGCTGCTGGCTCGTCCAAACCTGTGCCCCAGGACACTGACGGCAGCCCTGGCCCTGTCTTTACTCAGAGCTGCTTTCTGCTGAGGGGCAGGTGCTAGGTTATAAAGCCAGAGTGGCTATACTCTGACCCATTTTGCCATACAGTGCAGGTGCCCATGATGCCCACTTGGGTACAGCCCAGAAAGCCCCTGGCAGGAATCATGTGGTCATGTGCTGGGGAGGGATTGAGAAATTATGCCGCTTCAGAGCTGGGAACCTAAGACAGACCCCTTAACAAGTCCTCACAGGGACGAGACGCGGACTGCGTACATCCTCCAGGCAGTCGAGAGTGCATGGGAAGGGGTGGACAGACGGAAAGCCACAGATGCTAAAGACCCATCAGTGACTGAGGAGCCTAATGGGGAGCGTAATGGGGTCGCGGTGACGGCAGAGGCAGTCAGTCAAGCGTCATCACATCCAGAGAACTTGGAGGAAGAGGAGGTATGTGTCTGGGTCGTGCCTTTCCCTCTTTGCTTGTCCCTTCTTGGCCCCATCTGAGAGGCTGGGGCAACAGGAAACCTCCCTTCTTTGCTTTTTTTTTTTTTTTGAGACGGAGTTGCGCTCTTGTTACCCAGGCTGGAGTGCAATGGCACGATCTCGGCTCACCGCAACCTCCGCCTCCCAGGTTCAGGCAATTCTCCTGCCTCAGCCTCCTGAGTAGCTGGGATTACAGGCACACGCCACCATGCCCAGCTAATTTTTTGTATTTTTAGTAGAGACGGGGTTTCACCATGTTGACCAGGATGGTCTGGATCTCTTGATCTCGTGATCCACCCACCTCGGCCTCCCACAGTGCTGGGATTACAGGCTTGAGCCACCGCGCCCGGCCCCTTCTTTGCTTTTATACTCAGGGAAAAAGGTTTCTTTGGGAATAGGCAGCCTCGAGCAACTGGTCAGCTCTGTGCTACCTTTAGAGGGTCCCAAGCCGGGGGCATGCTGGACTGGGTGTGAGGAGAAAGCAAGTTGCTTAAACTATCGAAGCCTCAGCCTCCCCTGTATAAAATGAACAGGTGAAACTCCATGAACATTTCCACAGCCTTTCTCTGAGCTCTCCTCTAAACGGATAAGAGTGGAGTTTTTTTTGGTTGCTGCTGGGAACAGCGCCAAAGCCCATGGTTTGGCCTTCTTGGAAGCCCCTCCATGGGGCTCCAGGATACCACTGAACAAATGTGAATGAATACCTCGGATCTGGGGCCTTCCCTTCAGGTTTTTCCAGGACTGGGCAAATCTGTGGCTGTCTTGATTGGCCACCACGCCCAGGACTCTCCCCTGCATGTTGGAGGAAACATGATAGATGAAGACCACACAGACTCAGGCCCGGCAGCTCAGGGGTATGACCTAGTTCTGACACTTGGCAGCTGTATGGCCTTACGCATGTCACTCGTGTCGAACCTTGGTTCCTCATCTGTAAGATGGGGACAGATGCAATGCCCACCTCTATGAGGTGTTGGGATTCCCAGAGCTATCACATGGAATAGGCTGAGCCTGGGTGGCCTTCAGTGCTTCATTAACAAATGCCACCATTCCTGCTACCAGACCCCAGACCCTGTGATTCCTGTAGGGCCTTGGAGAACAATGGCCTCCTTCATCTTTTCCCACCCTCTTCCCCGCTTCTCTTCTTAGCTGAGTCATGGAGATTTGTATCGTTGTGATCTGTAAATTTCCTTAAATTAAAAGGCTAACACAATTAAGCCACATTGAGCAATATATAACATACATCTCCCTTGCTTAAAAAGGAGATTATAATTAAAGGGGAGCATCTCCACATAGTCCAGCTCTGGTGGTTGCTGTTCACCTCTAATGTCAGTCAACTTGTTAGAGTTAAAAAATACCTTGGATTAGTAGGGAGGATTAGTAGAAACCAGGGCTGTTTATGGAGGGCCTGGTCTCTGCCAGGTACTGTGCTTGTGGGTTTTGTTTGTCTTTGAACTATTTGAACTATTTCAAATAGTTCAAAGGAATCACCATCATGAGATGAGTGGTATATGCCTTTTTTTTTTTTGGAGGCGGAGTCTTGCTCTGTCTGTCACCCAGACTGGATTGGTGCAGTGGTGCAATCTCAGCCTCACCGCAATCTCCACCTCCTGGGTTCAAGAGATTCTCCTGCCTCAGCCTCCTGAGTAGCTGGGATTACAGTCGCCTGCTACCACACCCGGCTAATTTTTGTTTTTTTAGTAGAGACAGGGTTTCACCATGTTGGCCAGGCTGGTCTAGAACTCCTGACCTCATGTGATCTGCCTGCCTCAGCCTCCCAAAGTGCTGGGATTATAGGTGTGAGCCACCACGCCCGGCCTAATTTAATTTAATTTATTTTTTATTTTTTGAGACAGGGTCTTGCTCTGTCACCCAGGCTGGAGTGCAGTGGCTTGATCAAGCTCACTGCAGCCTCAGCTTCCTGGGATCAAGTGATCCTCCTACCTCAGCCTCCTAAGTAACTGGGCCACAGGTGCGTACCACCACACCTGGCTAATTTGTAAAATTTTTGAACAGATGGGGTTTTACTGTGTTGCTCAGGCTGGTCTCTAACTCCTGAGCCCAAGTAATCCTCTTGCCTTAGCCTCCCAAAGTGCTGGGATTATAGGTATGAGCCACTGCACCCGGCCTTAAAATTTTTTAACTCTTTTATTGCTTATTTTCCTGGATATGTAGTAGGTGTAGATATTTAGCGGTTACATGAAATATTTGATACAGGCATATAATAATGATAACAATCACGAGCCTCCTTTTTCACAGAGAAGGAAATGGAGGCTGAGAGAGACTTGAGTCACCTGGTGAAGTTCCCACAGGCAGGAGGGATAGGGCCAGGACTTGAACCAGATCCCTGATGCCTAGTCCAGTGCTGTTTGGGGCCTGAGGCCCTATCACCGGCCCACTTAGCCTTCCCCTTCTTGGCTCTGGCTCTCGCTACAGTGCATGGGAGCAGCTGCAGCTGTGGGCCTTGCCGTGTGTGGGGTGGAGCTGGACTCACTCATCTCCCAAGTGAAGGACCTGCTGCCAGACCTTGGTGAGGGCTTCATCCTGGCCTGCCTGGAGTACTACCACTACGACCCAGAGCAGGTGATCAACAATATCCTGGAGGAGCGGCTGGCCCCCACCCTCACCCAGCTGGACCGCAACCTAGACAGGTGGGAGAGACAGGTGGGAGGAGGCTCCCGATGCCCAGGCTGCCTCGGGTTGGGACCCCTTCCTTCCTTCATTCATGGCCCAGGACTTGTTCTCTCTTCCCCACTATGGTATTTCCTGGCCCTTTAAAGTCCTCTTTGGGGAAACATAAAAACCTTAGGCACTGCAGGAGTTTTTCACTTGCCCCAGACAGGGCAGAGAGTGTACACATCCCTGCCACACTTTGTGGGAAGAGCCATGGATGTGTCTTCAGGGATGTGACACAGGATTAGTAAGCCCTTCTGAGCCCCCTACGTTCCTGACCTGCCCCTGTCATTACTACCTTCCCAGTAGATTTGCGAGAGAGGATGGCCAGAGCTGCTCCCTTTCATCACACCTACCATTTCTGAGTTTGGCCCACTGCTGCCCTGAAGGCCCCATGGGATAGAACCAGTGCCCGAAAGGGTGTTTCTTCCATGAACAAATGATGTTTACCACATGAATGAGTGAAGTTAGCCTTGTGCCTTTGGACAAGTTCCTTAGCCTCCTTAGCCACATTTCACAGATGAGGGCACTGAGGCACAATGACGTGGAGTGATCTGTGACTACTGATCTCATAGGACTATTGTGAGCGTTAAATGAGGGATAGCACTTTTAAGAAACAAAAGGAAAACCTGTGTGAATGGCATGCAGGGAATGAGGGGGAGCTTTGTTTGAGGTGTGGCTGCATATCCAGGCAGGGGCCAGATTGGGCAGGGACTTATCTCCCACTACAAGGTTGTGAGATTGTGTCCTAGGAGTGGCTGTTGCAAGGGGATTGAAAAATCCAATGGATTTAACACAGCAGGGGGAAGTGGGGTACAGGTAGGCATCAGCTGGCAGGGCCTCCTTAAATTGATCTCTGTGTCCTCCACCCAGAGAAATGAAACCAGATCCGACACCCCTGCTGACATCTCGCCACAACGTCTTCCAGAATGATGAGTTTGATGTGTTTAGCAGGGACTCAGTAGACCTGAGCCGGGTGCACAAGGGCAAAAGGTGAGTGCAGTGGGCCACAGGGTTCCGATACCCCAATTTTGGAAGTGCAGAGAGGACACAAGGGAAACCAAGGGCTCCATCTTGGCAGAACTGGCCATGGAGTTTCAGCACAGGGATCCCTTCACAACCCTGGACCTGTGCACATCCAGTGGGTAGGAGCAAGTTCTCTAATGATCAGGCTTCAGGTTCTGACTCTATGCAGGGAGCCTGTTACTGAATCTCCCTTATTGGTAGCAAAAGGTTAGAAGTGCCAAAACTATCCCCCTATTCCCTTCTTCTTACATCTTTGAATGTGTTAACCATCAAATCACTGGTGGACAGTGCTTCCCAGAAACCATTCTTTGACCTGATTTTCCCCAGGCTGTGACAAAATGAGAAAATTAAGGACTTTGAGTGAGCTTTTGAGAAGGTGAACATATTCCATTTTAAGTCCTTTCTATTTATTTTTAGTTAATGTCCTTCCTACTGTTTTGGCATTGAAAAGTCCGTTCATGATTTATTCATTTGTTCAACAAATATTTGTCCAATACTTAGAGCATTCTAGGCTCTGAATTAATTAGGTTCTGGGGATGTAGTGGTGAGTGAAACAGACATGGCCCCTGCCCACGTGGAGTTTGCATTAATCAACTCATCAAACAAGCAACATTAAATTGTAGATATAAATAAATATTACAAGCTGGAGGTACACAGAATTCTGAGCCTTTGGTAGGGCTTCACCCCAGGCAGGAAGGCTTCTCTAATAACATGACATGGGACCAAGAGCTGAAAGGTGAGGATGGATCAGTTCTGCCAAGGAGGGAAGGAGAAGCTTCCCAAGCAGAGTGAGCAACAGGAACAGTGGTCCCAGGGCCACAGTGAGCACAGCAAAGGGTCCCATGAACTGACAAGGTCGGCACGTTTTATGTTTTGAAAAGATCAGGGCTGAGCACAGCAGCTCATGCCTGTAATCCCAACACTTTAGGAAGCCAAGGCAGGTGGCTCACTTGAGCCCAGGAGTTCAAGACCAGCCTGGACAACATGGTGAAACCCCATATCTACAAAAAATAGAAAAATTAGCTGGTGTGCTGGCATACACCTATAGTTCCAGCTACTCTGGAGGCTGAGGTGGGAAGATCACTTAAGCCCAGGTGGTCAAGGGTGCAGTGAGCTGTGATCATGCCACTGTACTCCAGCCTGGGTGACACAGTGAGACTCTGTCTCAAGAGAAAAAAAAGATCACTTGGCTTTGGAATGGTGACCCATCAGAGGGACAGAGTCAACTGTGATGGTAAAGAGTGCAACATCCAAAATAAGATGTATTCTAGTCCCCCAAAGTTCTGCATGGAATCCAGAAATCAGGGGACCTCTGGACAAGTACAGGCTGCTCTTTCACCATCATGTAGATGGAACTGTGAGGTTCAGAGAGGGAGGAGACCAGCTAGCCTCATTCTTGTGGTAGGAGCCCCAGTGATGGAAATGCCAGCTGCTGCTTCAGTTAGGGCCCTGTGCTGTTACCCCACCCTAGAGCTGTCCATTGCTAGAAGCTTGGCTGGCTGAGGGCTTGGGGAACCGGCACAGGGCAACTACAAAGCCATCTGGCTGGCTGGACAGGAAGAAACTGCTTAGTCATACACATTGCGACATCCCCAGATCCCAGACTAGAGATGTTATCCTACATCATTGCGACATCCCCAGATCCCAGACCAAAGATGTTATCCCGGATCACTGGCAGCTATTCCAGGCCAGCATGGCCCTCTGTAGCTCCAACAGTAGGCAAGGGGCAGACAAGGGGTCCTTCAGGCTGGGAGAAGGCTGGCGCCCTGCTCCAATCCAGAGAGCCTGATTGGTGGTAGGTTCCCCACAGAGATTAGGCATCTCTTGACATGGCCTTTCACTTTGAACTGTGGTTTTACCCAGGACTCACGGTATTGTAAGGTCTCATCTCACCCCACCCAGGTCAAAAGTCACCTACGAGCATTTGCCAAGGGGCTGGTCCCAGCTTTCAGGGTCAGCAGAGTGGCTGGCATTGAGGTAGCCAGGTTTCCAGAGCACTGTGCCCTTGCTCCTGGGGCCCTCTGGGCTGCCATGCAGAGAAACTCACTGTGCTGGGTAGCCTAGGGGCCACAGATTGCAGATAGGCAAAGCCTCCATTCATGTGTTCATTATTTATTCATTCAGCAAATATTTATTAACCGATTTACTAGCACCAGATCCTATGCTAGACACCAGGGAAACAGGGTGAGCTGGATGCCCAGGCCTTGCCCTCAAATAGCACAGAGATCATGAGAAAGACCATTAAACAAGTAAGGACAGAGTGGCAGGTGCTGGGGTGGGGTACACAGGAACTTCAGCAGGGACACATGTCCTAATCATGCTTAGAGGACAGCTGTCAAGCACATGAGAAATTAGGCAGGACACTGCAGATGGTACTGGAGTTAAAATGTGTGTGTTGTTGAATCAGACAGACTGCACTCAGTGGATTCAGTAGTAAGGAAATCTGTTCCTTTGCATGACAGGGCACTGTAAGGTAGGGCAGTCTAGGCTTGGTTGACCTATCATCCAGGATGTATGTTTCCTGTCTCTTGGGGCCTCACTTGATGGTCAGGCTAGTTCCTTGGAGGCTGCAGCGGGGCTGCAGCTGTTTCTGCTATGGCTTCCAGACATAACAGTGCCAGGAGATAGTCCAGACCAGGTCATCCTGTGTCTCTCCTAGAGACTAGGATACCTTTCCCAGAAGTCTCCAATATCCCTCATATCTCATCAGGAAAACTGAGTTACAGGGTCCAGGCCTGGAGCTCCAGTATGAAGTGGAAAGGTGGAAAGACCTGAAGAAAATGTAGGGTCTGTTTGGAACATGGGTGAGGTGCAGCATGGCTGTGGGGAGACATCAATACATGTGCTGCAGGAATATCATAGCCAGTGAAGGAGGCAGTGGGCAAGAGGCACGGTCCCCTAATGCCTTTGGACTGTTCCATAGTGCCCTGGAAGATAACATATATTCTAAAAATGTCTATGCTGGCTGGGTGGGGTGGCTCATGCCTGTAATCTCTGCACTTTGGGAGGCCAAGGTGAGTAGATCACCTGAGGTCAGGAGTTCGAAACCAGCCTGGCCAACATGGTGAAACCCCGTCTCTACTAAAAATACAAAAAATTAGCTGGGCATGGTATTGGGCATCTGTAATCCCAGCTACTCAGGAGGCTGAGGCAGGAGAAGTGCTTCAACCCAGGAGGCGGAGGTCATGGTGAGCCAAGATCGCTCCATTGCACTCCAGCCTGGGCAACAAGAGCAAAACTCTGTCCGCCGCCCCCCCTCCAAAAAATTAAAAATTAAAAAAATGCCTGTGCCCTTGGTCTGCCTTTTGGGGAGTCACAGAGCACATAAGGCTCTGAAAAGTCCTGTAGTAAAAGAAACAGGATTCACTTTGTGGAGCCTAGCAAGTGCTGGATCTGCTTCTACACGTCATCTTATTTCTTTCTTGCATCAGCCCCAGGAAGTGGGTGCTGAGAGAAGGAACTGAGACTTAGTGAGAATAAGGGACTTGCCTGTGATCACACAGCCCAGGAAATGGCAAAGCAGACCTGAGTCAGGAGACCTGTGTTTGGCCCTGGGTCTGCTGTTAGTAGCTGTGTGACCTTAAGAGGGTTGCTCTGTCTCTCTGGATCCCCTGATTCTTCACCTGAAAAAGCAGGGGTCGTTTGCTTCTGCAGGCTCTTTAGAAATTCAAAGGCAGAAGTCATCCTGCTAAGGACCAGTTTGAATTGGGCCTTGAAGGACAGGCTTCAAGAGATGAGCAAGGGAGAGGTGGCAAGGTTTCAGGGGATCCTGCAAATTCTCCGGGCTTGCTTCCATCTTGGAGGCCAAGGAAGCTAACTCCTCCAGAGAGTCTCTGTAGCCAGCGTTGCCTGTGTTTCCAGGCCAGACTGAAGTTCTGTCCTCTGATGGATCTTCTCCCGGCTGGCTTTTCTCTTGATTTTTCTTTTCTTTTTTTTATTTCTTTTTTTTTTTTTTTAAAGACGGGGTTTCACCATGTTGGTCAGGCTGGTCTTGAACTCGCGACCTCAGGTGATCCACCCGCCTCGGCCTCCCAGAGTGCTAGGATTACAGGCATGAGCCACCACGCCCGGCCCCTCCTGATTTTTCTTTTTCCTTCCTGGCTCTACGTGAGGTCATGGGTACAAGGTTGCACCTCCCTGGACAGGCTGCCCAGGTGCCCAGGCTTCGCTGTTCCTACCTGTGTCTTCTTCCAGGGCACAGATAGGGTGGGTGGAGCTTGCCAGGCCTGGCTCTGCCAGGGAGCCACATAATCAGAGGCCACACAGCACGAAAGAACTGCCCTACTGTGCAGAACCAAGGACGGGATGGACCACAAGCCAAAGGCATAGCAGAAAGGATGGTGACGCCTCTCATTCATCCTCCATCTCCTGGCCCAGTGCAGGTCCTAGGCCTATTAGGCCCTTAGGAAATGTGTCCAATGCATGGGTGTGCTCCTACCAGTGGCACCTACCACCTCAACAAGCTTGGGCCCCTTTTACTTCTTCTCTACCTCCCACTTAGCAAAGAAAGCCAGGTACAGGGCCAAGGTCACAGTCACAGGCCCCTTCTCTGGTGGATGTGAAAGATTTCTTTGAACCGAGATTTCTCCCTGGTCTAAATCAAGTGCACCATCCCTCCTGCCATACTCTGAGGCTCCTGGTCCAATCAAGTAGCCCCCTACAGTGGAGCCTCCATTACCCCTTCCTACAGATACCCCACCAGACCTCCTGAACCAAGTTCATTCCTTTTTTTTCCAAGGCCTCTGTTCAGCACATTGTGTGTTGACTGGTCTGTCGCCCCTACTACACTGAGTTCATGAGGGCAGATCTATATTTTCTTCATTTCTGAATCTCTCCCCAACTCAGCCTCATACCCTGCCTGGCACGGAGCAGGTCCTTAATAAAGACTTGAAGGGAGGCAAACCCTAGCCTGCCAACGCTGGAGGCTGCAGTCCTGACCTGCCCTGGGCTGCCAGACAGACAGCCCAACAGACTGAGATGGACTCAGATGCCTGCCCCTCCCTGCACCAAAAACTAGTTAATAGAAGATTTTTATGGAAGCTGTGTTTGGCTTTGTGTCTCTTCTTTTTATCTTATCCTTGATACATTCCAGAGACCCGATTTCACAGCTAAGCTGGATTTTCTTGCCTGGCGTCTCATTGGTTTTCCCCAGCAGGGCTAGAAGCTACATTCCACAGGCCAGGGTATATTTCTGACAAGCCAGGTTTTTTCACAGGTTTGCAAAGCCACAGGTTCCCTCTTTTGGCTGTGCTGCAGCTCACTGTGACCCAAACATCTCCCTTCCCCCATCCAGTGCACCCGAGTGTCCTCACCTGTGACATGACAGGAGTTAGTCTTCCAAACTATTATTCTTCTAGTGAAATTTTACATGGGAACTTGAGCTGTGAAAAAGACAGAAGGCCACTGTGGTGAGGTGGGGGTGATAGGAAGAGTACTGGGCCCTCCCCTTTTCTTGTACCTCAAAGGTCCCTAGGGCTCCCTTGAGCTCAGTAAGAAAGTCACATGTGGCCTTGCTGCTTCTTAAATTTTTGTTTGTTGGCAAGGAAAGGTCATTTTGGAAAAAACAATAAATAAATAAAAAATTTTAAATGAAAAAAATTTTTGTTTAAGAGATCCAGGCTAGGCACAGTAGCTCACACCTGTAATCCCAGCACTTTGGGAGGCCGAAGTAGAGGATCACTTGAGCCAGGAGCTCAAGACCAGCCTGGGCAATATGGTGAGACTCTGTCTCTACAAAAAAATTTAAATTTAGGCCAGGCGCAGTGGCTCATGCCTGTAATTCTACTATTTGGGGAGGTTGAGGCAGGCGGATCACTTGAGCCCAGGAGTTCCAGACCAGCCTAGCTAACATGGCAGATAACCCATCTCTATAAAAAAATACAAAAATTACCTGGGTATGGTGGCATGCGCCTGTACTCCCAGCTGTTGAGGAGGCTGAGGCACGAAAATTGCTTGAGCCCAGGAGGCGGAGGTTGCAGTGAGCCCAGATCCTACCACTGCATTCTAGCCTGTAGCAAAAAAAAAAAAAAAAAAAGATTTAGACAACTTCAGGTGCTTCCAAGCAGTAACCATCATCATTTGGTATGGGGCTTACTAGCCTTCTCTCTGCATTGTCATGGATAGGTGTGTGGTCATAGAAGAGTTAGTGTGGTTTGCTTTTTTTCCTTGGGAATAAGAGAATTCTTTCCGCATCAGCACAAACAGATCACTGTCTTTCTTGGCAGCCACCACACAGCGATCTGTAATACAGATGTGGCACAGTTCATTTGGCTCTTTCACTCATGATGGACATTAAGTTGCTTTCCATTTTTCACTGTTGCAAACAATGCTGAAAAGAAAATCTTTAATCAGACCTCTGTACACACAGCCAGCATCTCTTTAGGGTAGATGCCTTGACAGGGAATATCCTGATCAAAAGGTGAGCACATTTTACTTTTTTTTTTTTTTTTTTTTTTTTTTGAGACAGTCTCTCTCTGTCGCCCAGGCTGGAGTGCAGTAGCACGATCTCTGCTCACTGCAACCTCTGCCTCCCGGGTTCAAGCAGTTCTCTGCCTCAGCTTCCTGAGTAGTTGGGATTACAGGTGCCTGCCACCATGCCCAGCCCCAATTTACCTTTTAACAGGGGCTCTCGGCTGGGTGTGGTGGCTCATGCCTGTAATTTCAACACTTTGGGAAGCCATGGTGGGCAGATCACTTGAGATCAGGAGATTGAGGCCAGCCTGGCCAACATGGTGAAACCCTGTCTCTACTAAAAATTCGAAAATTTGCCGGGCATGATGGTGCGTACCTGTAGTCCCAGCTACTGGGGAGGCGGAGGCAGGAGAATCGCTTGAACCTGGGAGGTGGAGGTTGCAGTGAGCCAAGATCCAAGATCGGGCCACTGTACTCCAGCCTGGGCGACAGCAAGACTTCATCTAAAAAAAACAGTGGCTCTTGGGATGCTCTCTAAAGTGGCTGGAGCCATCCTCATGGGCACCGGCAGCAGTGAGAGTCTCACCCTCCTACACCCTCACCAATGCTTGATTTCATTTGTCTCTGTGCCATTCTGAGGGGTAGAGCAGTGGGCCTGTGGTCTCTGGACCCTCCACACCCTGCAGTAGTTCCAAGCCTGATGGTTTTCCTTTCTCTCTCTCTACGGTTCCCTCTCAGTACCAGGAAGGAGGAGAACACACGGAGTTTGCTGAATGACAAGCGCACGGTGGCGGCGCAGCGGCAGCGCTATGAGCAGTACAGCGTGGTGGTGGAGGAGGTAGGCCACCAAGCTGGGCCTCTGCTAGGCTGGGGAGACCAGGACAGCCCCTGAGTGCTTCCAACCCGTGCTTCTGCCATTGCAGGTGCTACTGCAGCCAGGTGAGAGCCTGCCCTACCACAGTGTTTACTATGAGGATGAGTACGATGACACATACGATGGCAACCAGGTGGGTGCCAATGATGCAGACTCAGACGACGAGCTCATCAGCCGCAGGTGAGGCCATAGGGCGGGTGGCATTCCAGAGCAGAGCAGCTTTTAGGCCTGTGGGGTCCCTCACCCTCCTGTTTACATAGATGAGCAAGTCAGTGGCAGAATCAGGGCCCAAACCCAGTCCTCCTGACTCCTCCTAATCCAGTGCTCCTCCACCCCAGCCCACCTTGAATGGGACAGCATTTATTTGATGTCATGCAGTAGCTTTGCATTTTTCTTTCTCTCTTTCTTTTTTTTTTTTGAGATGGAGTCTCACTCTGTCACCCAGGCTGGACTGCAGTGGCGCAATGTTGGCTCACTGCAACATCCGCCTCCCAGGTTCAAGGGATTCTGCTGCCTCAGCCTCCTGAGTAACTGGGACTATAGGTGCATGCTACCACACCCGGCTACTTTTTTATTTTTAGTAGAGACAAGGTTTCACCATTTTGGTCAGGCTGGTCTTGAACTCCTGACCTCAGGTGATCCACCCACCTCAGCCTCCCAAAGTGCTGGGATTACAGGCGTGAGCCACCATGCCCGGCCTCTTTCTCTTTTTTGAGACAGGTTTTCACTCTGTCACCCAGGCTGGAGTGCAATCATGGCTCACTGCAGCCTTGACCTTCTGGACTACAAGTGATCCTCCCACCTCAGCCTCCTGAGTAGCTGGGACTACAGGTGTGGTGTGCACCACCATACCCAGCTAACTTTTATTTTTTGCAGAGGTGGGAGTCTCACTATGTTGCCCAGACCAGTCTCAACCTCCTGGGCTCAAGTGATCCCTCCACCTCAAACTCCCCAAGTGTTGGTATTACAGGCATGAGCCACTGTGCTCAGTCCATTTTTCTTTTTTTTTTTTTCACTATCTCCAGTAATGGCTATAAGCAACATTTTTCTTAATTGAAGAAACCGTTTTCAGGTGGAATCGTGTAATGATTCTCCAATACAGGTCAAAGCAGAACTGTCCTGACTAAAGAAAGGCCTGGAGACACTCATGGCCCCATCTCAGCCTCGCCCTCAACCCCCACCTCAAATTCTGTTAACCTCAGAGAATCCAGGAGCTGAAGCAAAGCTGGCTTGAAACCCCTTTGGTTTTTCCCAGCCTCATGAGCCCTCCTTGTGGCCCCCTCACCCAGCCAGGTTCCCTCCCGTTGTGGCTCTAGCTGTTCTTTGATTTCACTTCTCTCAACACCTTCAGGCCATTCACCATCCCTCAGGTGCTGAGAACCAAAGTGCCTAGAGAAGGGCAGGAGGAGGAGGATGACGACGAGGAAGAGGAGGCTGACGAGGAGGCTCCCAAGGTACCTCCCTGGCAGGTGGCAGATGAAGCAGGGAGTGCGGTTCTGAAGGGTGAATCAGAAGTGCCCCTCACCCTCCCTGCATCTGGCCCTGAGGCAGCCCCAGTATCACTGGTGGGGACAGGAGGAGTCCCTTTGAGCCCAGGATGTCTGCTTGGAGAGCTGCTGGCTTAGAACTCACTTCTGCTGCCCACTAGTGAGGGCCTAGGGGACAGATTAAAGGCAGGGCCTCTGAGCTGCCAGCTTCATTATTAGGCCCAGGAGTCAGGGGTTGGGAGAAGGGCAGTTACTAGCACTGTGCCCAGGATGGCAATCCTTAAAATCAGAGAGGAGTTAGAGAGCCCAAGGGCCCTGGGAAGTCACCTGGAACCAGTAGCTTAGAAAATTCTACTTTCTAGTAGCTAAACTTTTTATTTGAATGAAGTCTTAACTAGAACCTCAACATACAGAACAGATAAAAGCAGTACTGCTCAGGTGATAGGGGCAGCAGCCTGGGATCCCTCATGCCCCACACCAGGGTGGCAAATTCAGGTGTTTTCAGGGCCAGGTCCTGACTCCAGATTTGGTCTCCTCTCCCTTCCACAGCCTGACCATTTCGTACAGGACCCTGCAGTGCTGAGAGAGAAGGCAGAAGCCAGGCGCATTGCCTTTCTCGCCAAGAAAGGGTGAGCATTCAAGGGGCTCCTTCTGAGAGGACCCTTCCCACCATCTAGGGAAGGCAAGGCCAGCCATCCAGGAAACCCACACATACACCCTAAGTACTCCATGTGTATTAATTTAGTTCTCACGACAACCATGGGAAGTAGCTACCATTATCACTATCCTCATTTGACAGATGAAAAAACTCAGGCCCAGAGACATTAAGTAACCAGCCAAATGTCACACAGCTAGCAGGTGATGGAGCAAAGATGGGGCCAAGATAGCTCAGCCCCAGGGTCCCCACTCATAACCATGACTTGATGAACACAGGAGGGGATTTATCACCCAACGTGTCCAGGGGTAGCTGATACCAGGCAGAGTGTAAATGTGAGAGAGCTCAGACATACACACATCCTTTCTGGCTGATAGGGGTATGGAAGTGACGGGGCACTTGAGCTGGGTCCCTAAGGGTAAAAAAGGCACAGAGGAGTTTGTCATATGAGGGCAGAAAGGTAAGAAAGCAGACGTGGTCAGAAGAGGGATCTTTGAGGGGAGCTGAGATCAGTAGCCAGAGACTCCTTATCCAGGCCCCACATCTTCCCATCAAGGAAACATCCAGAAAGTCCAAGGACCTGACTCCACCTAAGGGCAAGCCAGAAGCCCACTGCCCCATCCCAGCCCTAGGCTTCATGCCACACTGTCTACTGGATGCAGAAGGCAGGGAAGGCATTTGGGTTTCATTCTGAAGGCAGTGGGGAGCCATAGAAAGTTGTTGGGAGCAGAGCAACCCTGACTTCTCATCCATCCCAGCTCCCTGAGTGCAGAGCTCTGGCAAATCCCAGGGGTTGAGATGGTCTGAAAGAGCCCTGGGTTACATCTGTGAGTGCACTTGGTTCTTGGAGGTCACCAGGCAAGGCCCTAGGGTAGAAAACAGGAGTAATATCTCAGCTGCAGTATGTGGCCCCAGGTGGAGAAAGGAGGAGACCCGACCAAAGCCCTCCCCATTTTCTGTGGGCTGCGTCAGCCTTCCAGCTTTTCCTCCGCTACACGGATTGATGGGCGCACCTGGAAGCAAGGCCCAGAGAAGAGAAAACACTAGGCTTGGGTCTGGTCAGAGCCCCATAACCCTGCCAGGCTCCATTTCTCCTTCCGTCTGAAGTTGGGACATGGGTGACCTGGCCCAGCCTGTGTGTCCTCTCCCAGTGAACACCAAGGCAGGCTGTGGGCTTTCCCCGCCAGAGCCTCCTCTGCCTGACAGGTTCTTGTGGGGTGGGTTGTTCCTCCCTCAGGTACCGGCATGACAGCTCAACAGCAGTGGCCGGCAGCCTCCGGGGCCATGGGCAGAGCCGCGAGACAACCCAGGAACGCAGGAAGAAGGAAGCCAACAAGGCAACAAGAGCCAACCACAACCGGAGAACCATGGCTGACCGCAAGAGGAGCAAAGGCATGATCCCATCCTGAAGGCTGGTGTAGGGCCAGCAGGGAGGCAGCGGCCCCAGACTCTGCAGGCCGCGCTCCCATCACCTTGGGCCTCCTTACCAGGTGGCCCCCTGCCAGGGCCCCAAGATCAATTCGACCCCTCAACAGCCTCAGCTTTGCAGCCCCTGAGAAGGCCGCCTCTCATCTACCAGCCAGCCACGAGCGCCTTCCTGCAGAACACACAGTGCCTTATCCCACAGCGGAAGAATCCATGGGGCCAGCAAGCAGGCGCCTTCCCCCAGCTGTGCTGGCGGGAAAGGGATGGGGATGGAGCCCCAAGGCAAGCACCCCAAACCTCGGGCAACAAGATACTACTTCTCCTTTACCCTGGACAGCAGGAAACCTGTATATTCAAAAACAGAAAAAGGTCTGCTAATAAAATTTTTGACCCTTTCAAATGAAGATATGCCCATGAACCACACTCCCTGTGTCTCATTCTTGAGGGACAGCTGCCAGCTGGAGGGCAGGATGGTCACTGTGCTCTGTCAGCCTCTACTGCTTGTGGCTCCCATAAACCCCCTAATGCTGCCCTGCCTTGCTGTGTGGCCCTGAGAATATCACCACCTTCTCTGAGCCTCCAGTCCTTGCTTATTGAATGAAGGGCTCGTTAGGGTGAGCCCCTGGGGTCCTTTCCATTTTCTCATTCAGTTCTGACAGCTCCACTATAGGAGGTAGGTACCATTTGCAGCCCTGTAGTACGTACTAAATGAGGAAAGTGAGGCACCGAGGGCTGAAGGCACCTACCCAGTCCATAGTTAGGAGGTGGCAGAATGGGGACTGGACACTCAGTCTGAACCCTGGCCTTTATAGGGCTCTAGACTCCCATACATGGTATCATCTCCCATCTCACAACTGGCCCGAGGACACCGAGCCCGTGGCAGAGGCAGTACCCAAACTCAGTACCTCGTGGCTGTATCTACACTAATAAATCCTCCCAGATCGAGAGTTCAGACAGAAACCTTAAGAAACAAGTAAGGGCCAGGCGCAGTGGCTCACACCTGTAATCCCAGTACTTTGGGAGGCCGAGGCAGGTGGATCACTTGAGGTCAGGAGTTCGAGATCTGCCTGGCCAACATGGTGAAACCCTGTCTCTTTTTAAAAATAATAAATAAATAAAATAAAAAGAAACAATGTCACTGCCAAGCCCTGTCAAAGTGAGTAGGGGCCTGGCTCCTCAAAGTCCCTCCCAGGCATGGCCCTCCAGCTCCTAGTGTGGCAGCAGCTGCCAGGCCCCTCCATTCCCAGGCCCCTCCATTCCCAGGCCACCCCATGTGGTGTCAGTCAATAGCAAGTCAACAGCAGGGCATTGACTGGGCTAACCTGAGCCCAGCCTAGCCTGGAGTCCCGTCCTGTCAGCGGAAGCCAGGGTCCATGCCTAGCTGGACCTTGACAAATCACCCTGGATGCTGGTGCAATTTATTTGCATGTACTTAGGATGAGAGTCTGAGGCAGAGGCAGACAGGCACTTGACTGATTGGTTTTGTTAGGTCAGGCTGCACAAGTGAAAATCAATAGCAATCCCTCTGCCTTGCCATCTCTCTTGGTGCATTTGAGATGCAGAACAGATACGGGGGTGGTGTCCTCCCCTCGAGCTGCTGAAATTAGCTGAGATCAGGCCCAGGATCAGCCGTCCTGACAGGCAGCAGGAAGGCTGTTTCCTCCTGGAGGCATTTGCCAGGGACCTCCCTGAACTCCTCAGGCCCAGTGCTTGTCCCTGGAGCGAAGTAAGATGGGTTGGAGGTTCCCAGGATTTACTGGCCTTACCCATTCCTGTTCACACAGCCCCTCTCACTTTCACTTAGTCATCCATACCTCCCACCCACCTGGACTGGAGTTCAGGCCTCATGTGAAAATCCTGGTTTAAAGGATCTGAGAAGACAAAGGCAGTTTTTCAAATTTTTCAGAATGTAGTGCCAGGTCAAAACTCATCTCCCTTGAGTAACTGTTTTCTGGTTTCAGATCTTGAAAGCACTCTTTTAGGAGTGCTTTGAAAACAGCTCAGGGGGCATCCAGAATGGTGTTCCTAGGCCTACCACCTCAATTCTCAGGGCCTCAGTTTTACCATCTGTACTGTGATCCTGCTGGACCAGATGAAATCTTTCCACTTGGTGCCAATTAAATCCTCTGAGGAGACCTCAAGGTTTAATTAACATTGGCAGCCACTCCAGCCTGTGAAACAGGAAGACCCAATCCCTACAGAAAATAAAAAATAAGGTGGATGTGGTGGTACACACCTGTAGTCCCAGCTACTTGGGAGGCCGAGGCAGAAGGATCACTTGAGCCCAGGAGTTGGAGGGTGCACCTGGGAGTTGGAGGCTGCAGTGAGCTATAATCATGCCACTGCACTCCAGCCTGGGCAATGAGTGAGACCTTGTCTTTTTTTTTTTTTTTAAGACAGGGTTGCCGGGCGCGGTGGCTCAAGCCTGTAATCCCAGCACTTTGGGAGGCCGAGGCGGGTGGATCACGAGGTCAAGAGATCGAGACCATCCTGGTCAACA